GTCTATAGGCCTGGGGTTCATGGACAGCCTCGAGGGGGGCCCCAGAAGTTCCAGCACAATTGTGAGTATCTGTGTATCATTTTTTTTCTGAAGAGAGGTTTTTTTTTTTTTTTAATTTTTTAATTTTCATCAGATTCTTAAACTGGGACATTTACTCAAAACAGCCTTGGGTGGCAGATAAGCTTGGAGAGGTCAGCGGGGCCCAGGAATGCAGGACCTTGTAGCCCTGGTTCAGGAATTCGTACTTCACCCTGAAGTCAACAGGGAACCCGTGGGCTTTTCTAGCTGGGAAGTGACGTGGGACCAGTCTTAGGAAGACAGCAGAGGTTTGCTGTGAGCTCAGGTAGACGGGAAGTCCTTTTATAGACTATAAAGTGATGTACTATGTACCTCGTATCCCCAGAGCCTGGTACAGTGCTGAGCCTATACTGGGGGCTCAGTAAATATCTGTTGAATGAACGAATGAGTAAATGAACTAATGAGCACAGGTGTATGTAACAGCAATTTAAAAAGTGCATGAGGAAGGAGGAATGCTTGAGTCCAGGAGTCTGAGGTTGCAGTGAACTGTGATGATGCTACTGTACACTACTCAGGGTGACAGAGTGAGACCCTGTCTCAAAAAAAAAAAGTGCATCTCTCCAGGGTAATTCCATGCATTGTTGGATGATTTAACTGAAGGTGAAATCCAGGAAATGCAACCTTCTCCCACCTGCCCTAAGCTCTAACGGAAACCTGCTGAGTGCTGAGATGGGTGGAGGTGGGTGTCGGGGAGAGTGGACGTGGCACTGGAGGGTGTGGCCACACCTGGCCGCAGCACAGGGCTCTTCCCAAGTGCATCTTTGGAGGAGTGCCGGGATGGCCAAAACCCTTTCTTTCCTCCTTCTGCATTTAACCCATCAGCGTGTCCCGTTGACTCTGTCTCCAAAACGTGCCCCCTGTTCCCTCTGTGTCCTGCAGCTCCTCCACTCCCACCCAGTTCCTGCTCCCCCGCCTCGCCTGGGCAACTGCAGCGGTCTCAAAACCAGTGCCACTGCTCTGCCCTTGTCTGCTACCAGCCCTTCTCCATGTGGCAGCCGGAGGGATCTTTTAAAACATTTCTGCAAAGAATGTGACTTTCTTTCCATGTGCTTCTAAAACTGCAATATATATTAGGGTCGAGTGGGAATTTTGCCAAAATGCAGGCTGCGATTCCGTTGATCTGGAGTTGGGCTTGAGACTGCATTTCTAACAGGCTCCTAGGAAATGCAGTTGCTGCTACTCTCGGACGATGTTAGAGTAACAAAGGCTTACAGAAAAACCCAAACTTCCTTCCCATGTCCTACTTTAGCTGGCCCCTGCCCAGCTCTCCCACGTCATCTCCAATCCCTGTTCTTCTCTCTCATCTTGCTGTCGCCACACTGGCCTTCATTCTGTTCCTGGAGTGTGCCAAGTTGTTCCTGCCTCAGGGCCTTTGCACATGATGTTCCCACTGCCTGGAATGAACCTCTCCGGAACTCCTTTTCTTTATTTAGATCTTAGTTCAATGGTCGGTCAGAGAGTACTTCTCTGACCACTTTATTTAATGAAGTACCTCATCCCCCAGGGACTCTCAGCTATTTGCTTTTTTTTTTTTTTCCTTCATAGCACTTATCATTCCCAATTTATTTTGGTAATATATTTGTTGACTTGTTCATTTCCTGTTTCCACCCTCGTGTATGTTGCACTTGGATAATGACTTGGTTTCCTTCACTCTGAGCCTAACCCTGAGCCTTTTCACATCTGTGGGGCCTGTGCATGAACATGCTCCTGCCAGTGTTTAGATGCAGGCTAGCTGGAAAAACTAAACGGAGGTGCCTGAGGCAGAGGGGAGGGAGGAGGGAAGGAGCAAACTTTCTCTACTCAGGGGCTGCAGAAAAAGTCTTAAGAACCTGGAGATGATGGTGAATCTAAGAATCAACATGTAACAGATGAATTCATCTAACCAGAAGAAACTGGAAGGCAGGAGAAGAAAGTAACTAATGTTAGTTAAAGGAATTAATAAGGTATTTGGAACAGTGTAAGTAAAATAGTGTTTACCGAATAAATAAATATGTGGAACCCTGATTTTATGACTATCACTTCACATAATCTGTTCATCCTCACCATACACAAGAAGCTGTGCTGTAAGATTAGATTTACTCAAGGTCATATAAGACTTGCCCAAGGTCATACAGCGATTCAGAGACCGAGCTGACAACCCCACTCTCTAAAACAGCTCTATTCCAAGTTGTAAACGCCATACTCCCCGTCCCTGTCCCCTGCTTTATGCGGTGCCGTGCCATCTGTTACCTCTTGATACCCCATGCATTCTACTTGGTTGTTTATTTTCTCTCACCAGAATATAAATCCTTACCTAAGGGTAAGGATCCTTGTTTTGTTCACTACTGTTTTCCAGAACCCAGAACAGGGCCTGACACATAAGTAGACACTTAATGAATACTTACTGAATGTTAGAAGGATGAATGAAGGGGTGATTTAAAAATCCTTGCTTTCTCCACCTCTGCGTGTGGCTGATGGAACCCTCAGATCCAGGGAAGAAGGTGGGAGTCCCACTGCAATGAACTGGGACGGAAAGCCGTGGCCCACCAAACACTTTCCACATTCAGAGGGAAGACTGTATCCGCAGAGGAGGGAGGCTGCACCGAGCCTGGTGGGAGAGTAGCCAGGGAGCTGGCGTTTGTCCAGTCTCCAGCTCAGACTCCACCGCTGTGGTGGGGTGGGTGGGCGTGGAGGCCACAGGCTGGCCATGGCTCTTCTCAGGAAGTGGCTTCCCACATAAAGTGGCCCTGGAGGGAGAATGTGTTGACCAGGCCCCAGTGGCAATTATAAGCTTGATGTAAGTGCATAAATAGGCACTTATCAGATAATCTCTTGTGAATTGAGTTAGAGTGAGTCGGTTGCTCAAACCTGGCAGCTCTGGCTGCTGGCAAATAGAGGTTCTAACCAGCCAGCCTGAGCCCTGGATGGCTCTTCGAGATAGTTCTCTCGGGCCCACTGACCTTCTTCCATGCCAAGGCTTCTCAGAGTGTGATCTCCAGACCAGCCATGTCAGCACCACCTGAGAACTTGCTAGAAATGCAAATTCTCTGGCCTCATCCTCTGATCTACAAAATCAGAAGCTGCAGGGGTGGGATCCTTCAGGCCCAGAGTTAACAAGCCCTCCAGGCAATTCTGATGCAAGTTCAAGTTTGAGAGCTATGATTACAGTTTCTCTTTCAGGGCAGTAATTACTTTGCTGCAAGGGGTAGGGTGGAGTTCAGATAACAGTCAGGCATGGGGGGATTTATACATACAATGCATGGTGTCCTGTTATACATCCAGTGAGGATTGGATCAGTGATTCTTAGTGGGAAGAGTCAGGGGTTCAGGAGGAATACCTTTGGATTTCACAAAATCTCCATGAGTTAGTTTGCAAAAGCACATTTTAACATTATTGTAGTTTTGCTTTTTAGACTTGCTATTTAATTTATTTTGAAATGACAAATGATATTAAAAGAAAGTGTAATGTAAACTGCCACCCAGGACTGATTGTTTTAGTGTCTATAGCTCAAGTGAGAGTACAATGCTTGGATCCCAACTCCTGTCCAATCCTCATCCTCAAAAAAAAACCACAAAACATTTTTATCTATGCGCGTGCACACATGTGTGCACACACACACACACACACACACACACACACACACACACCCTTACTAGCTACCTAGGCCTCAGCTGCCTGAGAATAAGAGAAACATGACTTGGGACCTTTCTGAAAGGGCTCATGAGACAGGCTGCAAACTTTACGGAACCCAGTGTGCCTTGCACTCTATTTGGCTCTGTGAAGAGGTGCAAAGATAAATTAGCCAGTGGTTTCTGCAATCACGACGTTTGCAAGAGAATATTCACGAGGGAGACATTTCTTCCGGTTGGCAGATGTTTGAAGTATGGAGATCGAGACCTTTGATCAGTGTCTTGGTTTTTCAGTTTCACCTGATAACAGGGCACATGAGGTGAACTGATGGGAGAGGAGGGTGAACAGATGGCGGGTTAGGAGGCGCAGAAAGGCATAGACAACAGAGGCTACCAGTCCCTGGCAGTACTGTTCCCATGCCGGCTGCTTGGGTCCAGGGCCATATTTAGGAGATCTGAGGTTAGACTGTAACAATTGTTAACATTTATCCGGTGGCCACATGTGCCAGTTAACAGTCTAGATGCTGTTCTTATATTTAATATTAACTCGTTCTTCATAGGAATCCTATGAGGTAGGTCTTTGACTGATCAGGCACGCAGAGGAAAGTGAACTTGCCCAAGATCACACACTAGGCAGCGGTGGAGTCAGAATTCGAACCCGGGCTGCCGCACGTGTCCGTGTCTGGCGTGGCCTGCTGGGTCGGGGACGGTGGAGGAATGGAACACTTATTTTGATGAGTAAAAGGGGCCCAGAAGACCGCCCTTCCGTCTTTCTCCATGCCTGAGCATTCCTCTTGGTGGACAATCGAGAGCAAAGTGCTACGTGAACAGCTACAGGAAAATTACTTTAAGCCCTTTCCCACTAGATGGCGGCCCCTAAACCCACATAAAAATCCCGAAGCCTCCACCGTCCCCGTCCTCCAGGCCGGGCCTGCGCCCGAGGTGCAGCCGGACGCACCCCCTCCCCGCGCCCAGTGGGGCAGCGGGCTCGGCCCCGCCCCATCCGGGGGTCGCGGGAAGCTCCCGGGCCGGGTGGGGGGCGGGGGGCGGGGAGACGAGCCCCCGACCCACCCCCACTCGGCGCCCGAGGGCGGAGCCGGCGCGGAGCAGCCCTGCCGGGGCGCCCAGGCGGGGCCTTCCCGCACCGCGCGCGCCGGCCGGGCAGGGAGCGCCGGGAGCGACGGCGGGGCGCGGCCGGGCCCCGAGGGCGCGGGCCGGGCGGCAGGTGCGCGGCGCGGACTACAAGTCCCAGCATGCCCGGCTGCCCTGACCCGGCCCCCGCTGCCGCTTAAAGGCTCCGGGAGCCGCAGCCGTCGGGTCGCCGCGGCTTTCGCTTTGCCGCCGCGGCTGGGCGGGCGGGAGGAGCAGCAGGCTCGGCGGCCGGCTCTCCTGGGGTCCCGGCGGGGCAGCGCCGCGTCCAGCCCTCCCGCTTCGGGGATTCCCGGCCGAGGCGCCCGCGCCCCCGGGCTCCCCGCCTCGGCCCCCCGCGGCCCCGATGCCGAGGCATGGATAGAGCGGCGCGGCGCGCGGCGGCGATGGGGGAGAAGAAGGAGGGCGGTGGGGCCGCGGCGGCCGCGGATGGGGGCGCCGGGGCCGCGGCCAGCCGGGCGCTCCAGCAGTGCGGGCAGCTCCAGAAGCTCATCGACATCTCCATCGGCAGCCTGCGCGGGCTGCGCACCAAGTGCGCGGTGTCCAACGACCTCACCCAGCAGGAGATCCGGACCCTGGAGGTAAGGGGGCCGCCGCGCCCGAGGGTCTGGGACCCGGGCTGGGCCCCAGCCCCTCCCTCCGTGGCCCAGCTCACGCCTCCCCGAGTTGCATCCTTGAGCCCGGGTCGCACCCTTTGAGGCTTCTTCTCCCTCCTCCACTCTCTGCTGCGGCAGCTTGGGAACCCAGGACCAGCCCTCACCTTTGGGCAGGTTTTGGGGGGCGGGTGTGCAGTGGGAACTGGGACGGAGGAGCCCGTGGGCCGGGTGGGCGGCGTGTGGACATCCCCTTCTCCGCCCCCACCCCGTTTCCAGTTTGCGGGGCCGCAGGACTCATTCTCCCACTGAGTCACACGCTGGACTTTTCCTCGTGTGGCTGAGTCGAGCAGCCGTGGGCCGGGGTGACGGGGAGGTCCCCTGAAGTGTGAGCGCAGGCCTGCCGTCCTCTGCCTTCCCCTCGCGCCCCAGCCTCCGGCTTGTCCTTTCCTCTCCTCCAGGTCTTGTCTGCCGCTATTCAAAAAGTGTTTGCTGAAACTGCATTTTTTTGCCATTCAGGCGTTTGGTGCTTTCCTTTCGCGTTCCCACAGTTCACTGCTTAAAATGTAATTACCCACTGACTCCCCCCCACGTCCCCCCAAAGATTGGATTTTGGCTTAGGGAGGATTATGCTGGGGAAGGAAGCCTTTGGTGGGAAGATGACACTATTTAAGGGATTGTGCTGCAGACAGCCTGGAGTGTAAGGAAGAAATAAGACATACGGGCCCTCCTCTCTCAAATTGTAGCCGGGAAGTGCAGTATTAAAAGGATTAGGAAGATCCAGCCAAAAGGGTTGTTGGGTTCTCAGAAGGCTGAGCCCCGCCCCCCACAGCCCCCAGTACCCAATGGAGGGAAACTCTTGCATTCCCAATTTGCTTTTGTCCAGGGACTGGGCTGTGAAACTTCAGGACCAGTTAACAGCCACCCTGTCTTGAAAGAAGGGGCCTCTCACCATCTTGCATTGCCACATCTGGCTTTCTGCAGGTCTGAGGGTGTTTTGTTTTATTAGAGCCTCAATTTCTCACCCCCCTCCCCCCTTGCTAATTGCCTGTGCCAGCTGTCATAGGGCCCAGCGGTGGTTGTGGTAATTATCATATACAAGACCAGTCCTCCCGCCATGCACACCACAAGCCTGAATCCTTCCTTGTTCGGTTCAAAATGCTCAGGGGTGACTCTCCCGCCGTTTTATTTTCTTAAAAGCTACGAAGGCCAGGGACATTGGAAGAGTCCACAATCAGTGCTTGCTATTATCATTTTTTTTTAATCACAGTTGCTATAGCAGTACTGACCAGGGCTTCGCTTGAAAAACAAACCAACAACCCCCCCCCCCCCCACAACTGGCCCTTCTGTGTGCTTGCTGCTGCTTTCCACGCGGCGAGAGAAACTGATTTCTTGAACGCAGCTGTGAGTGTGTTTGCCCAGCAAAGTTCGGTTTTTAAGCCAACACAATAGGGGGCTTGTGTGGCTTAGTTCCGGGAGGAGGGGTCGTTGTCCAGCAGTGGCTGTCTGGTTGGACTGCAGTGTTGTTGGGCTGAGAGAATGTTCTCTGTGTTGGCCTCTGGCGGATTGTCCCCACGTCCCTCTGAAGTGCTCCTGGCTCCCAGAGTGTGTATATAAGGAGAACCGTTTGCTGTTCATTCTCTGGAAATGGCCCTTTGTCCTCCAGGTACCCTGACTTCCAAAGTCACTCTTTTTGGTGAAGGTGGGGCGTCATGACACCCCAAAGCATACAGCTATTTAAGTCTCCAGTGGCTTCCCCTCCTTAGTGTTTGTTTGGATGATTGTCTCTGAAGGCCCAAAGGGGATTTGCAGTGTAAATGCAGCTTCTTCTTTCCACCATGATGTGGATTCAGGTTCACGCTACTTGTGGGAAAGGCGGGGCCTGAGTTGTTTGTTCGGATGGGACTTTAGACCCCTGCAGCTGGTTCCCTGGGGCTGCCACCAGCCGGTTTGGAAGAATCCCCTCATCCCAGAGGCCTCAGCCTCCTCACTTGCAAAACTAGGAGGTCGGAGTGGACTCAGGGCTCTTGTAGCTCTAAATTCTGTAGTTTAGTGAAAGAGACCCAGCTGGGTTGAATCAAATGTTTGCGATCACTGTCATACATACCCCCCTTTAAAAATATCCCTGTTTATGAACGGTTCTAAAATTCAGATTTACCAAACTGATAAAGTAAGGGGGTAAGTTTATAACTACAAGATTCTTTGCCCTAAAAGCAGCATGGTGAACAGAAAGCCCATGGCTTTGAAATTGGGTCTGAGTTCTGTGTGCGTGACCTTGGGCAAGTCCTGTGACTTCTGAAGCTCAAGCTTGCCTCTCTGTAAAGTAGGGATGAGGCTGCGTCCACCTGCCAGGTTCTTGTGCGTCTGTCAGTCTGTGCTGTTATTACTGAAAGATCTGCCTATAAGCTTTCCCTAGTGGGAGTCCGGTAGCATTTATGTCACAGGACACCTTTAGGGGAAGGCACGTCTACAGCTGGCTCTTATTTCCTAGAGGCCGGTGACACGGGCCAGGAAACAATCCCAGCAAGCTGGGTGGAGGTGGCCCACCCCCAGCAGCACGTGGGGAGGCCAGGCAGGCCAGTGGCCGTCCATGCTGGCTTTCTTTCCTGTTCTGTGGGTTCCTCTCGAACTCCAGGCCAGGGCCTCCCGAGACTGTGCTTGTGACATTGGATTCCTGGCGTCTGAAGAACAATCTGACCAGAGGGCTTGGCTTACGCAACTGTACCAGTCTGCTCCCCGGAAGCTTTGGAACCCCAGCCCACTTTGGCCTTCATTAAATAAGCTCTCAGTGGGAGAAGCAGCATGTGAAATGTCCCTGGAAGTCCCTGACCTGGGACGGGCTGACGTTGCCCGAGATGCAGGTTGTGCTGGTGTGCGGCAGGGTGTCTGGTCCCGATGGTGTGCGGGGTCAGCGTGTCTGGCTGCCCAGGGAGGGCTTTGCTCTTTGTGAAAGGGGTAGAAGGAGCTGAGCTGTAACGTTCGCCTTCTTGCCAGCAGTGTGCCGGACCCTTCTCCACCTCATACGATTTCCTGCAGACCCACCGGTCTTCTTCACTCACACACATTTCCCCTCTCTACATGGAAAGGGAGGGAGGCCCGGGTCTTATCTGTACACAGAACTTGTGAGGCTACTTCATCCTGGCAGGACCCGGTGTTCGGTCTCCCTTAGAGCCTTCCAGGGGTCCGAGAATTCTGCCAAGGCAGGTGGATTGAATGTTTTCGTTCCCCGGATGTGCTCACGCAGGCACACCTGGCCTGCCTCGTAGCTGGGCCTGGAGCCCATGCCAGTTCATTCCTTTATTCCTTCGTCCCCTGTGGGTAGAATCTGTGCCCAGCACTGCACTGGGGAGACAGGGTATGCAGAAGCAGACACTCATGTTGCCTTGTGACAATTCACTTTCTGGGGACATTGCAACTTGCCCTTTCCTGCCAGGCCACTGGTACTTCCCAGAGACAGGCTGTGCTGCACCAAGTCTCCCTACCTTGTGCTCTTATAGGTACCAAAAATCTCCCCTAAGCAAGCTGAGTTGGCGAAAGGGGTTTCCCAAAGGACCTTGACCATAGCTGGGGAGGAGACACCGGGAAGCTGTGATAGCTACAGTCTCTGCTTTGCTGCTTCTCTGAGCAGTTGCCCTGGAGCCAGGAGGTGTCTGGAGGAAGGTCAGAGAGGCCTGACCCTTGCTCAGCTCTGCGTGGCAGAGGTCAGAGCTTCGCTGTGGGGAGGACCTGAGCTCTCCCTGTGTTCTCTGGAAGCATCTGGATCGTGGAACTGCGGGGAGAGGAGAGGGGTGTATGTGCTCATATTGGGTTCTTAGGGCATGCATGGACATGCATCCACCGGCCAGACCTCCCGTTGTTATTGATTTGCTTACTGAGCTCCTAGCCGGCAGCCGCCTGGCAAGGGTTGTGAGGGAGGCGGGATGCTCTCCCAGTCTTTGGGCTGTAGGGGCACTGTCCATCTAGGGGGAGCCAGACAGGTGCACCGTGGTGACTCTAGTACCACAGCTGGCAGGCCGTGCATTGGGAATACTACTGAACCCTTGACCAGTCCAGCCTCCTGTTTTTATGGGAAATATTCCCAGAGTCTCGGTGACTTCTCCCAGATCACACATACCTGGCAGAACCGGGAGTGAAACCTGGCTTTCCTTTCCCACTCAGCCACTGTCTGGAGGGGTGGCATTTCAGTGCGGCTGTGCGCAGCCACAGCTGTAACCTCCTGCCTGAGCGACTCCAGCTACCCCTGAAGGGATGTGGACCTGGGGCACTGTGCCTTTTGGTGTCCACTTTTCCCTTGGCAACTTTTTCCCTGGTGTAGCCTACTTCCCGAGTGTTCCCGGGAGGCGCCCCGCAGGGCCGGGGTGCTGGAGATAGGCCTTAGCAGACCTGCAGCCCAGGCTGGTGTGGGTGCCTGCGTGCAGACAGCGGGGGAAAGGCCTCCTTCCCTTTCAGGGTTGTGTCCTTTCCTCTGAGTGGTCTGGGTTGGCTCCAAAGCCAGGGAAGGGGCATTCATCCACACCACAAGCACCCTGGTCCTGCCCGCTGGCTGTGGTCTGCAGGGGGACGGTGCAGAGGTGCTAGCCCTCGATGGCAGCGTCTGCGATGCTGGGGACGAGTAGCAAAGCCTGTGGCCAAGTCCCTCTAAACTGTGCTTTTTAAAAAAAGACACCCTTCCAGAATAGGCTGGTTGAGATCTTTTTTCAACCTTTAGTTCAAGGGGAAAGCTGCGTAATGCCTTTGGGGTTATGGGAATGCCCTTCGAGTTGAGAGGGCAGACGTGGAATGAGAAGTGTTCTTGGTCACCTGTTCTGTGTTGAGCATGCCGATAGGCCCTTGGCATAGGTTGTACCATTTAACACTCACGGTGACCCTCTGAGGTTTTCTCAAACCCAGTTTGCAGACGCGGTCATTGCAGCTCAGAGGGATAAAGAGACTGTCTGAGTTAGTTGGGGGGTGGGGTTGAACCTGAGTTGACTAGTCTTCAGAACTCA